CCAATGAATGCAGGATAGACTCTAAGTATGAATGAAAAGTCAGCCTGGGAAAATGAATGAATGAAAAATGCTCTCATAATGGCGTACATCCTCGCTGGTGTCTTATATTAAGACCAATTAGTGCTTTATGACCCTTGCAGGAGGAGAAGAGAAAGTTTCATGTCACCATGTTTGCCATCTTGGCTTTGTGTGTGTGTATGTGTATGTGTGTTTTACCACTTGGCAGTTTAGAGTCATTAAAAAAGGGCGTGAGGGAGCCATCCAGCGGTTTCTAGTCATTAATGAAGAACAGCACTGACAGCCACAAGAACCCACACAAACACTATAAACACAAAATAAGGCACACATGCAAACACCAAAACACACACACTGACTTTTTGTTTTTGTCTGTGTCTTCCCTTCTGTTTCTGCTACAAACACTTTTTTTCAGTCCTATTAAGCGCGTTGAGCCAATAAAATACATCCACACACAGACAAACAAGTCATTTCACTAAATCAACCATGCATTTGTGAAGTGCTCTGGGGGACATAAGGGTCCCATGCTGGAACATAACAAGAAGTCAAGATGCAGCACTCGCCACAAAAGAGGAAATCTGGGGGGTTATTTTTAGGTAAGCATAAGTGGTTGTTGCTTGGTTTCCTTAGAAGTCACTCTGTTATTAAAAAAAAAAAAAAAACCCTGTGTGATGATATAATGGGCCTCGGGTAGGTGAAAGAAGGATGAGGAAGTTGTGTGACAAGCCGTTCAGTCACCCCATTTACTTCCCGGGCCAACAACCCTCACCACTTCCAGGCTATATCTTTAAAGAGGATGTTGTGCGTTTGGAGCAGCTCTGCACTTTCTCAACCACGGTTCTATCACTTCAAAAGCTTAGCCCCTGTTTGTTTACTAGCTGAGCGGCGCTGATTGTATAGCAAACAGTCTGCAGGCTGGAGGACAGTACACACAGGACCTCTACACATCCCTAATAGGGAATCTCTGAAGGCTTTCTCTGCTCAAGGCTGTCATCTAGTGGCTCTGGGTGCAATAATACTGGAATAAGATGCAAAGTTACTGTACCCTGGATTGTAAAACAAAAGGAGCAGGGTCTTGATATTCCTCTATCCCCTCCCTCGACTGCTCTCTCTTCCTCCTACACTCTTTTAAACATGGTTTTAGTTTCACACAGCTGTGTGAGATGTGACTCTTGTGGTGATTTGTGGCGCTATAATGACTCTTCCTCTGCAGGACTGCTCCTCCCAGACATTGAGATACCAGCTCTCACCTTACCTCGATCAACCAATCGAGGAGCAGTGGAGGGTTTCCTGGGGTGTATGAGGGCACCAGGGTGACCTGAGGGCGGTGGAGGACCTGCACCTGTCCAAACTCCCTTGGCTTTGGACAGGTGCACTGCACCTGCACCACATGTGTTCAGTCAATAATGTGTGTGTGTGTGTGTGTGTGTGTGTGTGTGTGTGTGTTTAAAGCTTGGACATGCAGCTGTGTGCTATGAAGTTTCTGCCACACACACTCTTATATTTAAATCCTGTCAGGTGAAAAAAGATCATAGGTTAGCTTGTGTTCCAGGTCTCAAGGTGTCTAATCACTTTCTATCCATCAGTGCATCTGACTGCAGCGATCCTCCCTACATGTTTGTTAAGGGTACGTTTGCATTCTTCATTTCTTCTTAGCAGTTCCCATAGTAATAGTTTGTCATTTTTTGCAGAGTTACTTTTGAAAACTGAAGCACATGTTTTCACAGTCCTTCATCAGTGGCTCTCAAACTTTTTCTGTCATGCCCGCCCTTGGAATGGGAAAAATGTCCACGCCTTCTCAACTGATCCAAATGGTGACCAAAAAGGGCCAGGTTGAACTTTATTTAAATACCACCTTGAAGGTATTATATTAATTTTGCTGAGGAATGTGTGAAAACTAACAAATGAATAGCAATTATTTACACTTTCTTTCTTCACTAATATCTGCATTCATAAGTCAAGACGTAAAAAAAAATATTAATGACAAAAGGAACACTTTTTTAAACTTAAAAAATGTATATCTGAGGGGTGCCGATAGCTTAGCGGTTGTGAAGCTCGCCCCATGTACAGAGTCTGTAGTTCTTTTCCCAGCGGCTGTGGGTTCAGGTCTGACATCGGCCCTTTGCTGCATGTCATCCCCCGACTCTCTCCTCCCAACATGCCCTGTCTCTCTTCAGCTGCCATATCAAATAAAGGCAAAAATGTTTTTTAAATCAAAAAGAATGATATCCTATACATTTTACATTGTTTTTTCTTAAACTTTCCTTTTTTTTATAACTTTAAACAGTAACACAAAAAAGTGGAACGGTTGAAATACTCTCAGCTTTATGCTTAAGAACTCGAAAACCTGTGTTCAACGTCACATTTGGAGTAACTGTTGCGACCTAGAAATATTTGTATGCAATTCAATTTGACAGAAGAAAGCACACTACACTATAAGTTAGAAAGTACTGTATATAATATTATTTCACATTTGTTTAATTTGTTAATTAAAAAAACATACAGGTAATGTAATTTCATGTTAGTTTACACAGAAATAAAAAAGTTGTTATTAACTCTTTTAATTGTAGGTTTTGATATATGACGTCATCGGCCTGCGTGCAGAGGTGACGTAAATGGTCGGAGTCGTGGTCAAGAGATGAATGCGCATGTATGCCGTTTTTGTTGTGAGGACCCGATGCTTCTTAAGAAAGATAATCATAAAAAATACAGCACCGGGAAGAATAAAGTTGCCAAACGGAAGACAGAGTCCTGGTCTTTTCATGGGTGCAACATAAGTAACAATAGGAAATGTGTCACATTAAAATGTCAGTAATTTGGAAAAATTACCTTTCCCAGTCCACATTAGTTTTAAACTGCCTTTAAAACATCAGGTTCTCACAGTACACCAGCTGATTTAGCAGTCTAAAGGTATTTTTCAGACATGAAGAGGAGTTTAATCAGGAGTTATCGTTCCAAAACAGTGACCCTGTCCTCCTACAGGGAGATCCCCTTTGAGAAAAAAAGAGGAGAGAGCAGGGAGTGCAAGAGGTGAGGAGGTTGAGGAGTTGGAGGGGAGGTGATGTGGAGGGAGAGAAAAGAAGGGACGGCGCCTCAGTTGTTATAAAAATTACTCACTTTTTCACTGAGTATCTAAGAGGGGATAATGGTACAAAGTTAGGATTAGAGAATGAAACACAGCCAAACCAATTGTTTGGATATGCCTTTTGTTTACAGTTTCAGTCTCAAATTATTTTATTGCCACTGGATTACACCAGGAAACTGTTCTGCTGCAGTGAGCATCCAACATTAAACAAAACCAGATCTAACAAGTACACACATGTACACACACACACACAAACAGAATTTCCACAGCGTCTGGACAGAATTACGTGGTGAAATGAGGAACCCCCCCCCACACCCCTCCCTAATTATAGTCTGGATCATTGGAGACGGAGGGCTTTTATGGAACACAGTTCATCACTGTACTGTGGCACAGCAAACACACACACATACAAACACGGCACCCTTCAAACACAGATCTTTAGAGACTGCATTTACGCTCCTATTCTTAGAGGGGATTTCTGTTGTGGCAAACATGGAACTCAATGACATGTGACACGCAGAGAAACACCAAGAGAGAGAGAGAGAGAGAGAGAGAGAGAGAGAGAGAAGTGTTAAGTTAAGAAAGGGGAGCTCTCTGACTGCCTGGTGGAATCATTCGATTTTGTGAAATGATGATATACAACAACCGGGCACTGTGGAAACATAAACAAAAGCGCACCACAAACGATGTGGAGCCTGGTATCATGTGATGGTGCCTGAAACTCTCACCCTGTGAAGCTGAGCGGACGGGGAAGTGTGGTGAGGAGGCAGGGCCCAACTGATAAACAGAGCAGAGGGGTAACACGCATAAAGGCCTGCTGCGTGCTCTCTGGAGATGAATAACGAGCTCGGGCTGCGTGTAAACTGTGGTTTGAAAAACAACAAAAGCTGCTGACTAACTGTAATGGTGTGTGGCGTGCTGGGGACGCCTTGTCATTTGGGCGCTTGCTTGCACAGGGAGGCCTCTGTCACCTAATCATGTCGGGATAAAGCACGGCAACGGCTTTTATTGTAGTCATACACAATGTGTCTCTGCAACTGTGTAGTATTCAAAAAAACAACAACAGAAGTCATGTCAGGACAGTCTGGTACAATGAAGCTATTTTTGTTCTAGAGGCAACACAAGGGAATGATGTTTTTATGTCATTAGATATGAACAATTGTTTATATACTACGCTGATTGTGGACTTCTAACTCTGCCATATTCTATATTCCCAAATAGATACAAACATAATGACTATTCTCTGAATGAATTGTTTTTATTCTGCCATTAAAATTATGGAAAACACAGGGGCGCCTTAAGCTCAGTGGTAGAGTCGGTCGTCTCACAACCAGAAGGTCGGGGTTTGATCCCCAGCTCAGGCAGGCACATGACAAAGCGTCCTTGGGCAAGAAGCTGAACCCCAAATTGCTCCCTCTGCGTGTGAATGTGTATTCATTTTGTATGGATTAGTTAATAGTCATTGTCACGTTACAGAGCAGCCTCTGCCTTCAGTGTGTGAATGTGGTGTGAATGGGTAGGTGTGACCTGCAGTGGAAAAAGTGCTTTGAGTAGTCAGAAGACTAGAAAAGTCCATTTATCAGAACTTTAACACTGAGTCTGTGTTGGATACTGGGGGAAAGGAGTTTCTATAAAGACTTGGGTGTTTACCAGGCATGCAGGAAGGAATGAAAGTTACTAAACTGACTACAAGTTAGGACATCTCCGCCTGGACTGCTTCTATTTTCCATTCAGTTGCCTCTCCAACCTCACAGAAGTGTGACACTCAAACACTCCAGTACCTTCCTACACTTTGACCCAAGTTCTCACTTATTTGTATTTATTTACAAAATCTTGATTTACCATTCAACCAATGAGATGTCTGGTAAGTGTAACTGTAAAAGCACTCATGAACGAACACTTATTTTATAATCATTTATTTTGAAGATATAAGTACAAGCAATAACAAATTAGATAAAATAGTGATGAAGATAAAAAGTAAGGTAACAAAAAGGTATCCGTTTGTTTCCGTCTGTCAGTCCATTAAAACCGTGTTTTTTCTATCTTTTTCGGTTTCCTTGAATCTGCATCTGGAGCAGTTACGGCTCACTGTCCATTGACATGAGGTCTGTCTTCTTCCTTGCCACACCTTTTGTTTAATCCACTGAAATACTTTTCTCTGAAGGCGTTGTGTCCCTGGTAGGGGCTGAGGTGGAGGTCTTCCATATGAGCCAGGCTGTCCAATTCCTGTAAGGAGAAAATGTGTAGAGGTTATCGAAAATTAAGTTATTTAAACCAACCCTGAACCTTCCAAGAACTTCCAAGTTTACTCCTGTTAGAACAAACTAAAATCCTTTTTAAAGCAGTAAAGGTTTTTATTTTTCACCCTAAACCGTTTTTAGACGTGACGTTATCAAACTTCCAGCAGCAAATATCTTTTGAAATGTACAGAATAAAGCCTGTGATTAGAAAAACAAAATGAAAATCAACCGGGACACGAGGAAGCTTCCTTTCTCCCCCTCCCTGAGGCACATGTTGAGACTACAAATTTGACAAATAAATAATTATTAGTAGATATAACCATGACAGCTTCATTCCAGTTTAGGGGAAACAAATAGTCAGTGTCATTCTTCATGTTTCTCATGTCAACAAAAGGACCTGTACTGTTTAGTGTTTATAATGATGAATATGAACTTTAGTTATACAGTTTGTGTTGGCTGTTAGGTCGCTGCGGGATGAAGGCAGGAAGAGAGATGCTGCTTGAAGGAATAATGAGGTGAGTTGAGTTTGAAATGATGACTCTAACGTTGTTCCTGTCATTTTTCAGCAACACCTCTCGTCTGCTTATTGATGCTGCCATGCAACCTGGAAACATTTCCATGACCACACTAAGGGGAAATAACTATGGCTGACTAAATATCCATGACCCAGAAACAATAAGGTTAAAGGGACATAACAACAAATGACAACTGTGGATATATCAACTCAGTATATGCCAAAAATCATACAGGTGAAGAGGAACACATGTTTAGTGCAATTTTATAATAATAAGTATTTTTGGCCCACCATAACATTATTTCATGCCCCATGGATGAGAAAAAGATAGGTTTCAAAGAGACTTTTCTGTGCTCGTTCAACAGAAAACATTTGGTAAATGGGCTTGAGCTTGTATGAAGCTTTTGGCAGAGGCTGCTATGCAAGTGACCACCAGAAGTAACTAATCCCATTCATACATATTAATATGCCAAGGACATATCAGACGTGGCTTCAGGGGCTGGGGATCGAACCGCAGCACCACCATTCCACAGCAATATGGCTGGCATTTGCTTAATTCAGGGTGGAAACATTGGCATTGTGTGAACTCATGTATGTTTAATAGAATTATTGACATATTCAGAAGTAAAACCTGATGATTTAGTTCCCATAGGTGTGCACCTGGGCCTATTTGGAAGAGAGAACTCTGCAAACTCAGATACCTAGAAGTTGGTGAAGAACAAACATCTGTGTGTTTATGTGTGTGTGTCATGCAGGGAACTTCATGGGAACAATTTGGGGTTTTGAAGTGGAATGGATGTCAGATCCAAAGATGGATTGTTTTCCATATAATGTGTGATTAGCCCATTTAGGTTTTCAAGTATAAAAGAAAGAAATCATATCCAGATGTTGAGGATTAACCCGAAAAGAGACACCATCACTGACTTCAGGATAGCATGTAACAAAACATGAACATATGGACATCATACATACATGAGCATGACACATACTTATGTGGTTACGCATATACAAACATCTTCTGTTCAAAAGAACAGGCAGGCGGACACATGATCCTGTTTAACATAAACAAACTTATATCTGTGATGCTGTTCATGCTCACACATATGAAACCAGGAAACATCTCTGCAGCACTTAGAGGACGGTTCTGTGCAGCTATGTAGACATTATATGTTCAAATGAGAACTAGGTGAACAAAGTCGTTTTTTGTTTTTTCCCGTTCTGTGTGTTCCTTTTCCCCTTTCTGTTGTACAGTATATCTAACTCAGGTGACACTGATTGTCAACGTGCACCGTCTTTGAGCCCCAGCACTGACTTCAAGAAGCGAGAGGCTTTTGGACTGGGGACTGCTGCTTCTTTTGATTCTCAGACAGGGATTTTGTGTTGGTGTGTTTTGTTGATTTTGTCCTCGCTTTGTTTAATGATTTGGTTCTTATGTATGTCTACAAATAAATCCAGTGATTTGCCAGTTCATGTGTTAAATGTATTTTTGTAGGATTGGTTAGTGGAATATTGTTGGCATCATAGGGCCACCTTAGGGTGGCACATAACAAACCAAAATAAAACGTTAAAAACTAAGATTCCTGGATAGATATGGTGCATAACCACCAATTCTCTGATCTCACAAAGTCAGGCAAAAATTCTCTTCTGACAAAGTTAAAAAAACAAATTTGAATCAAAAATGGAACAGATTTTAGATTTTTAAAATATGGTGAGTTGAGAACTAATTTTCTGTTGATCTCAATCACAACAGCACACACCTCTGGCTCCTTGATCTTCTCCATGGTGATGAGGCGTCGCGCTGTGTGGCTGGAAAGAGTCTGCTCACAGTTACTGATGACCCGGAGACATGGATGAAGAGGAACCATCTCCTCACAGTACCTGGAAGGAGACACATACACACTCAATATTACACACAGGCGTCCAGAGGTACACAAAGAAAGAGGTAGAGAGAGAGACAAGCAAAAACAAATGTTCTTCATTTGGGCATCTTCATTTTACATGAGTTAGAAAATGTAAGTCCTGTGAACAAAGTGGACTCTTTTTTCCCCTTGTTGCAAAAAAAGAGCTGTTGGGATACAGACGAAGACTATTCATGTCAAAATGACAACCTAAATTCTCTTCTCTTTGCCAACCATTCCACTTACTTTATCACGGAGTGTTTTAAAAAACTATATATAAAGTTTGACTTACTTATTTATGTTTCTCTCTTCCTCTGTTTCCCACCAATAAAATCACAGAACCTTTGAGTCGTAGTCTATCATCTGAGCCTGGTTCTGCAGGTGGAGCATTCAGTTTATCCTCAATAAGGTTATGAAGAGAGTTTGGTTATAAGTTTACGGTGACGTGGGATAGAACAGCCGTTAACTTTAATAAAGTTAAAGTTATAACAAATAACAGACCAAACTGGTTTTCTACTGGGATTTCTAAAATTGGTACCATTGGGCGAGGGAATTTGCATATACAGCATATGTAGCTCTACAAAATGTGTATGGAAACATTTGAAATCCAGCAGTTTTAGTCAAAATGATCATCCAGAGCACTATGCCTTTCTTGACCAGAGTACAGGGTCTGTGCCCAGCAGAGATGTGGTATCTTGCCTTTGGCTTTTGTAAACAAGTTTTAAATCTTAAATATTCTAGATGCCACCTTTCTGTAACAGATCTGCAGAAGATCCTGACTTGCTTTTTTTTCTCAGATAAATGTTGATTTCACTACCAGTTTTTTTAGAACAATTCCAGCTTGCTCAGTTTTGTTAAATACATTCCAACACCATAAGAAGAATCTTTATGTTGGAGGTGTAACTTAGTTGTTATAATTAAATAGAGAGACCTACTTCATTTGTGATTTGACATAATGTGACTAGCATGTGTGTTTGTTCTTTTGCTCTTATTCTGCATGCAGACTGGAATGTTTTGGTGCATGGCGTATAAAAAATAAACCAGTGCTACTACATTTGAACATTGTAGTGTGAAAACAGCTAGTTATTTAAAGGAAGCGTATGTAGTGCGAGGATGAAGATGGAAAAAGTGACCTGACAGGTTGACTGCGGTGTCTGTCATCACAAGTTTGGCCGGGTTAGGCCCTATTAACAGCAATGATGTATGTGTTTGTATATTTGTGTCAGCAGCACTTTTTCCTGACCACCATCACAGTAAAAACAGTCCCCACTCAAAGTCGGATTTGTACATCACTGTTTGTCAGCCATGTTGCCATGGCTACGCGTGGGCCTCTTTGGTTTACAGAACGTTAGGTCATCACAGGGACTAGAGGTGATGCATCCAGGAGAGCTACTCTCTTAAGCAGTCACCAAGAGCAGTGCCTGTGGTGCTAGTGGATGCAGGCATTGATTTGAACCTTTGTAAAGGACACTGGCTTCACTTGTGTCATAATAACAAACACTCTTAAACCACTACTGTCATAACAACAAACTATAATAAACTACTGCTTATTTTATTAAGATTTATTTTTGGGCTTTTTGTGCCTTTTTTAATGGAGAGATAGGACAGTGGATAGAGTTGGAAATCAGGGAGAGAGAGAGTGGGGAATGACATGCGGGAAAGAAGCCACAGGTGGGATGTGAGCCCGGGCCGCCCGCCTGAGACAACAGCCTCCATACATGGGGCGCGTGCACTAACCACTGTGCCACTGCGCCACTGCGCCACCAGCGCCCCATTAAACTACTACTTATAACATAAAAGTGATACTTTGTCAATTGGAAGCCTTTTGGGCAACCAGGAAGTCAGCAATAGCCAACTTAAGAGGGCTTCTGGTGTAGCCTAGCCTGTAGTTATCGACAAAGGACAACTGGCCAAGGCTAACTTTTCTGTGCACTGCTCACTGATTATGGTCCCACTTGCAACTTAAGAAACAAGGACTGAGTTGGAGTTCTAGAGAATGTCTAAGAGCAAATTAGTAGCTGCAGTCATATTCAGATACAGTATGTTCATAGAGATGGATAAAAAGCCTTTTCAGACAACAAACACAAATCTGAACGATTCAAAAACCGGCGGAAATAGGGCCTGTTTAATCCTTGAATTAACACCCATCATGGGTAGTCGGATAACAAGTGGTCAACTTGAAATGGCTGTAAACACAGTGAGATCCGTTAGCTCAGACTTTCAAACCGTCTGGGATGCCTTTGTCCACATTGACAAGGTCGCCTTGAGGACTGCCAACACTCCCCATTTTCAAGACAATGATCACGTGGAGTTGCCTAACAGACCACTATCCTGAGATTCTGAGATTAAAATCAGATTTTTTTTTTTCGGGAGCCAGAATTCTGACTCTGGATAAAAAGAGTTATTAAAGAAATTAAAGTCAGAATTCTGATATTAAAGTTAGAATCCTAAAAAAAAAAGTCAGAACCAATAATTTTTTTCTCAGTGGCTCTAATCTTCTTCCGTAGATTTAATATTACTCCATGTGCCTCGTCAAAATATTTGCTTTTAAATGACCAATGTCATATATGGATATGACTGTCTGTCTGTAATACACCATCCCTGATTCTATTAGGGAGATGATCTGTCCTGTATTTCTGTACATGATCAATGCCTACAGTACTCATGCTTTAAATGACACTAGGAGGGTTGACCAGCAAACTTCATTTATTCATAGCTGCAGAGCAGTAACATGGATCTGTGTGTTAGTGACGATGAACCTTCATATAATCCAAGTTTCAGATCCCCTCATCACTTCAGTCCTTTCTCAGAAGATCCTGGAGGGGGGGCTCTGTCTGATCCGAGGTTGCTACGATTAGATTTGCACATATTGAATGAAATCATGATAAAACACTTAGTGGATAGTTTATCCACAGGTGTTTTGGTAAGAACAACTGTTTATAGACTTATTCTGTTGGGATTTTATCAATGGCAAATATTAAAATTGGAAATTGGAGTTCATTTCATCTGCTGAGTATCTTTTTCTGATTCGGCTCCTCAGGGGTCCCAGCTTTTCTTAAATACAATAAGAAAGGGCTCCAAGGAAAAAAGTTTGGGAACCATTTATCTAAGCAAACTAAAGACAATTTAAAATACACTGTCTGACAAAAAGATATATATTAAATAAACAGCTGATTGATGATAATCTCGGTTGTAGCGCAGCTCACATGCTACTGGGGCAGTTGACTGTGTGGCCTTTTGTAAATATGACAGAACCATGAACTGAGAGATTTATCTTAATGTCCAGAGGGATACATTAGAATAAAAATGAATGACCTCGAAATGAAAACATGGTTCATTTACATTCTCTGACACATGCATCATCTTACTTTATCACTTTGCTTCATGTGTTTATGTTGTAATTAGGTCACTTTATGGCTGTGATGACTGATTTTCCATCATCTGTCTTGATACTTTTTCTTTCTTCATTTATTTTTCTCAGTTGAGAAAAGGAAGAGAGGGTTAGGGGTCTGACCAGGTCTAGACGCGGGTCTCTTGCTGACAGGACTTTGTGTCACCTGTCATCACACACACACACACACACACACACACACACACACACACACACACACACACACACACACACACACACACACACACACACACACACACACACACACACACACACACACACACACACACACACACACACACACACACACACACACACACACACACACACACACACACACACACACACACACACACACTTCAATGAAGCAGGCGGACACACACAATCCTGTGTTTCTATCACAGCCATGGATGCTGATATAGACAAATGTGGGGGTGACAGAAACGCGATATCTCCCCCGTAGAGCCCCAGATTAGGCCCAGGAGACAGGCTCGGCTTGCACGCACACGCACACACACAGACACAGACACAGACACACACACACAGACGTCAGACTGTAGAGACAGATAGTTAACAGATCTGACTCTCCCGGCCTCCGACGTTTATTTTGGCTCGGCACTCTGTCAGGCACGGAGTCAGCCACCGGTAGATGAGTAGCAAAGACAAATGTGTGAACACGATGACACATATGTGTGCACGGCTTCATACACAGGACCACACAGATTCATGCAAATGTACTAATGCATACACACAAAGGATGAATGGACAGGGGAATAAGCCTGCCTGTTTATCAAAAGGTCCAAAGGAAAATCCAAAGGTGGATGTTTCTTTTCCCCTCACATTTCCATACCCACACAGTCTAAAACCCAGAGGATGCAGGACTATCTCATCTCCTCCCTGCTCTTATAAAAAGTGTCCAAAGGGAGTGCCAGCCCTGCAGGGGTATTATTTCCCTAACGTCTGTTGGTGCCGATCTCTGTTGTGGTTTTACACATTTACAGTCGAACACCTGCTCTCAAAGTCTGCTCTTTATTTTCTGCTAATGCAAAGAAAATGGAACAATATGCAACTTTGTTTCCAATGATCCCTCTTATAGAGCACACATATAAAGGAGTCGTCAGTTGTGGTTTACTGTAAACCACCTCAACACACCTGTAACAACCCAGTTCAAACACTCTCATTCATACAGGTAGTTACAGTTGCAGGATGATGTTTAACAGGAACGGGAATAGGAAATAGCTGAAGGGAAAAGTTTGAGGGAAGAAAACCAAAGTGGATACCTTAATATGCAAGTTTACTGGACACGAAGTGAGAGATTCATAAACAATCCTCAAGAGTTTAAAGGTAAGTCTTCAAGTCCTTTGTCAACATGTGTGTATTCACAGACAGTTGCTGCAGTCAACTTACCATGTAGACTTCCCTTAGTTAAATATCAACATCAATTGTTAATACTATTACAGTAATTAGATACTGTAAAGGTAATCATGTATAAATTAAAATGAAGCCTCTGTGCCTTATGAGGATAAATCCTTATTAAGACATTAAGTGATAAAGGTTGTGTTCCAAACTATTTCTATTTTAGAGTTCAGGTTTTATGGAGTCAGTCTGCCCCCTACTGGTAGAAAAGCACCTTTTATGAAAAAAAATGTCTCAATCTTAGCCTGATGGAAAACTTTAAACTTATCACATCAAAAATCATCAAACTATGAGAAATGTTTTCAACATGAAGTCAAATATATTTGTCACTTATAAGAAGTCACTAAAAACAGTGAATCTAAAGTTCCTCTTGACCAGCGGGTATGACAGTGTGACTATAGCAGCATGCTTAGCGTTCTAAATAGTATGAATTATTATCAACTAGTGACACCATACAATAAGTCTGAATATTGTGCCAAGATGGCGCCGTGGATGGTTGCCACAGTAATGTGCTCTCTTGTACTTGTTGCATTTTTCTCATTTAGTCTTGTATATATTATTCTTTGCTTATTTATGTTTATACAGTATTTAATGTCATACTTTTGTACATTGAGAGCACAGTTCACCAAAGACAAAGTCCTTGTGTGTGTAAGCACACATGGTCAATAAAGCTGATTCTGAAAACTCACTCTGGTCTGTAGACAGGCAGCCAGTAGACAAGCCTCCCGCCCATGACCAGGTGGAGGGCAGAGGAATGTAAGAGATCCGTGAAGATGTCACTCAGGTGGTACGCCTGTGACACAGGGACGTGAGAGTCAACGTAGCTTAGGAAGAAAAAAACAAATAAACACACACATGGTTAGACCACAGAAACATTTTAAAGAAAATGAAAAGGTTTTAGTGAACACACTGAAGAAAAACGAGGTTACTCTAAATCAACACAAAGGTTAACTGTAGTTAGTAACAAATATGTTATGCCTTGAGACTAGGGCTTGATTAAATCAATAAAACATATATTTAGAAAATTGGGATTTTCATAAATGAAAATCGAGATTTTCTTTAAGATACTCGGCCACGTGTGACCCGGGCATGTCCCACCCAGCTACAGCTTTTTTGCTGAAGTTGCTCTGTCTCATCTGTACTTTTGCTGTACCCTGAAACTACACAGAGCACTTTTAAAGACAAGTTTACAGCTTGACCTTTAACCCCTAGAGAAGAAATACAGGTTACTTTATTCATCTCAAAAATACATTCAGTTTCTTTATGTTACATTTTATTGACAAAATAAATCAAAACTTGTTTGAAGTCATTTCTTCCTCAATTTTTTTAAGAAGAAAAAAAAAAGTAGATTAAAGTCATAATTCGAGTTAGTTATGGAAAAAAATCCCAGCCCTACTTCAGACCTATAAGATCCATTTTGTGTGCAGAGCAAACAGCTGAACTTACATGCCATCGTGCGGTTTACTGATGTCTTTATGAGAGCCAGTTCTCCTTGTAGACTCGCGGATACCATACGGAGCTTTACACCACAAAGGAATAATCAAATGAGACACGTTAGATATTCAGCATGTCTCAAGTGTTATTAGTGCTATGTGACGATGAACTTGATGACCTACGATCAGTGATGATGGCGTCAAACAGAGCAGCCTCCCTCCACACGGGCTTGGAGGCGTCAGACACCATAACATCGACATACATCTTCTCTGTTCCGTACTGCCGCAGGTTAGCTCGGATGTTCTCATCGGGTCCTCGCCACTTCTGGCTTTTACGACTCGACCTACCTGAGAGACAAAGACAAAATCTGGTTTTCTAAAGCAATATATGTAACAGAATATAATGTTAAAGGTATGAGATAAAGACACAACATACTATACAACAGTTAACATGCAGTTTAAGCTCTGAGTAGACAAAACTTACCTTTTCCATGAATGGTGTTGAAATCGATATCTGTTCCACAAACATAAGCTCCAAACTGAGAGCAAGCTACCAACAGGCTCCCTACAACAAACAGATACAAGGATCAGGAACCATTTATTGACACTGATTTCCCAAAGCGTGTGAAGTCCTGTATTTACATGTGTGTGTGCGAGGATTATCTTACCTGTGCCAACAAACGGGTCGAATACCAGGTCGTTCTCTTTAACTTTAGCATGGTTAGCCATAATGAACGAGAGTCCAGCATCCATACTGGTGTTTCCTATGAAGTGCCTGTTCTTTACACTGTGAGAGCGAATCAGTTCACGCTGTCCATCTGCAATCTGGTGCAGGAGAATCAAAGGATGAAATGTGCTCGAGTGCAGATTCATTTTTATGAGTCAAATGCAAACTAATATATCTCACCCATCGGCCAAAATAGATGTAGTTTGGATGCTCAGGGATGTTGTTGGGGTCTGTGCCGTAGTCTTCCAATAAACAGAAGATGTGTTCAGGGCTTTTCAGACTCACTGCGCCCTCAAACGGGAGATAGTCCAAAGCCTGGAGAGACAATACAAAAACATGATATCCTGCACATTCACAGAGAAATCCACAATGAACATACACCACATACATCTATATGTTTTCACATCCAAACACAAACATACTCACATCGATCCTTTTGATTCTGTCCGCAAACTCCAAAGTCTTGTTGAAAGTGTAGACATTGATTTTGTAAGTTGAGTCTTTGTGCATGAACGGTAACTGTGTAAGTATGTGGAGGAGAAAGCGCAAAAAAAATCTTAGACTCTCTATGTTCCAAATAGAGGTTTCATATAAGTGCAGGGATTGGTCCTTCAACAAGATCGAACTTTAAGCCAAAGCATCACAAACCATGTTCTCCAATGGGTAGTTCAAGAGAGACGTTTTGAGCTCACTGTGCGTTTGTCCATGACCCCAGAGTTCAAAAGCAGACCTGCAAGAATAATGCTGCATAAACTAGAGCTGCACATCAGCTGAGAGAGCATATGAGATATACATTCAAGTCAATGTGTGTAGGCGTTTATGTACAACATTACAGGGTCATTCCATCGCTGCAGAGGCCATTATTTACCTCCTAAAAAAATAAAAATAAACTTACTTTGCACAAACCGATCTGGCCATGATGCCACGTACATCCTCCTCACACAAACCATCCAGACACCAGAAAGGAGACTAAAGAGAGTGCATGCGAGACAGGGAGTTACTTTAGAGGAATGAGGTCTACAGGACAGAACTTTTAGATATGGATTACGTCTTTAATAACCAGTGTGTTTAGAAACAGCTGAGCAGGTGCATATCACTTGCAGACCTTTTCTGTGAAGTTTGTTCTGGGATGGAAGGGTTTTCCTCTGAGAGCCAGCAAAGCCTTAATTTCCTGAATGAAAAACAAAAAGTTCAGAAATCACAAATGATCATGCTTTATAATCAATTGGAAATACACAAAAACTAAATAAGATTATTAAAGGGATAGTGAGACAATATAGGATCCCACTTTCAAAAAGTTTGGGGACACTTGACGGAACCGTTTGGACTTAGGGTAAGACTAGTTAACTCATAAACACAGTTTAAGTTTCTCTATTTACAAGTCTACATGTTAAGTTTGTTTGTTAATCTACATCCACAGGTTCAGGTGTCTTTACATGTATAACATACACTTCACTTATTCAGATTTAGGGACAAGATTACATTTTTGACCCAAGAAAAGCAAAATATTATGCAGGTGTAACCTTTCAGTTTATTGTCATGATAATAAGACCTCTCAAACTAATTTCTAAATCTTATATCAGACGGCTGCAGCAACATGAGTGTGTTTAACACTTTAGCGGCTAGCTAATGGGAGAAGGGACTTGTTAGCTTGTTTCTGCTTTTGTTTATCAAGAAAAACTTGAACTAAAACATTCAAAACAACAGCTAAAAAAGTAACTAAGAGCAATTGTTAACGGAGGTTACCGGTAACCTGAAGTCCAAATTATCTTGGGCAAGATGTATCAGATATTGGTTGCATGATCGATTCAGGGTGGTCGCCATTTTGATGCGCATTGAAAACACGTCCGACTAGAAACCATAATGTGAGGCAACGTACCGCCTGAGGACAAAATTACAAAAAAAAAAAAAAATAGTAAAGAATGAGGGGTTTGTTTTTAAGTTCATACAAAGTATTGCCTGGAATTTAATCGTGCATCGTGTTTGTTGAAACGTGTTTTTGCAGTGTGTCGACGAGCTTCAGTTGACTTAAGATAAATATAATTTGGATCATTTGTAACAATTACTTTACTTAAATCGTCCGTTTTTTTTTTTAATAAAATGTTCCCTATGTTACCCAACTTTTTAATTACTCTAATTCGGTATATCTGTGTGTCTGTGGAGACACTGCCTTCCTTTTCTTCTTGTAGCATTATAAATCCCTCTCCCTCCGTAGACTGTAATCTGCTTTACTTCAGTGACACCTTCAGCCTCTCTGATTGGCTGCTTGGATCTCCTCTAACATGCCACTGGCTGTCTCAGGTGTCCATCACAGTGGTTTTGTTTCGGGACAGAAATGCACCCGCACTTCAGCTGCAGTCAGCACTGCTGCTTTATTGTTAAGTTGTAAATTGTCATAATGGTTTCTATGCACTTTGGATGCAATGACATGTAATGTCGAGGGAAGAGAGGTCCGATTCAGTCTGTGTCATGTAAGTTTGATCCTGTTTGACCATTGTTAGCTCGCAACTTCTGGCTGTCTCTGTAGTTCTGTTTTTACAAATCTAACTTGTTTTGATAATGAACTTATAATAATGTAGTATAATAATATTTTACCCTGTTTCCTTTATTTTCTTCAATGTCAATGAAATTATTTTGTTTAGACTGTGGGTAAATCCTGTTAAGCAATGCTGAACTCTAAGCCATCCAAGGTTCATTTGCAGATCCAAACAAGAGTAAGTTAGATCAAGAATATTCATATTAAAATCCAAACCTCATGTATTTTTATTACGAAGCATTAAAAAGATAGAGATCTATTCTTCAGTGAGTGCGTTGTATCCCTTCTTGCAGAATAACTGATGAAAGCTTTGTAATTTCCCCCACAGCACAATCAGTTATGGAGACAAACAGCCAGCGCTCTGATGTCCTGGAAACTGATGATGACGTCCCGGCTCTTGCACAAGTAAGAGATGACACTTCAGCATCCATCGTCTCTGTGAAAGGCCTGAAGGAGAACTGGCAGAAGTGGTCCCATGAGCACCAGGAGTACCAGAAGCACAACCCCTTCAGCAACAACTCCACGCCCAGTGTGGTGGTCCCTCAAAGAGGCCAGGATGACTATGGGAAGCCCCTGCAGGGATCCATGACAGAGCAGCGGGGAAAGGATGCTCACACACGCATTTACAGAGAAGTTCAGGAGCTGTGCGAGGTTATAAGGGACATTGGAGAGCACAGAGATGGAGATCTGGATGGGAAAGTGATCGCTGTTGAATTTGGGAAACTGTTTGAGCATTATGTGACCATCTCTAATAAACTGGTTGGGATTCTTCTACGAGCAAGGAAACAAGGGTTGGTTGACTTTGAGGGGGAGATGCTGTGGCAGGGGAAGGATGAGCACACAGTTATAACTCTGTTGCAGTGATCAAGAACTTGGAAAACAGCGTTGAAGTTGCATGCAGTACAGAGCTACCTCAAAATAATAATGAGCCACAATTTTCAGCAATCACAGAAGTTATCAGCATGTTGATATGTGAAGAAAAACATTTGTAAGAGAGGTTAAAGGGCATGCAAATATATTTTAATTGTAGATCAAGTAGATGAGTGAGCTGCTGAAATTAAGTCAGCCTGACCCAAGGAAACAACATGGTGCTTCATAGCATGTAGCCAACCTGTATACAGTTTGAAACTGTACCACACTGAGATTAGAAGTATACACTGAAAATGCTGTTTTTATGGAGCCAAAACTCCCATCTTCTACTATGCACTGATATCAAAACGCCATAATCTCTACTGCCAAAAAACATTGCCATGCATTATAATGACCTTTTTAGCCGAAAGGTAGAAGTAGAATGATGAGTGTGAAAGTGCTGCTTATGGTATGATAATAAAGAGGTAAGGTAAGGTTCTTTGTTAACAGTAAGCACTGCCTCGTGTAGTTTAACTAATGACGATGAGACCGTGTAAACTGATATGTCACTTCAATGGAAAGACACTGAGAAGCAGCAATACATTATTTATTGTAATAAAACTCATTTATAAAGTGAATACACTTTTTTACAGTACATTAAGTAGGGTCTTCTCTGTTTACATTCCTTTATACATAAAGCATAGCATTGAATACTATAGTTATTCTTAATACGCTTACCAGTCAGTTCACATTAACCATTTTCACATAATACATTAACATACATCAGCCTATACACCACTATGTTTCAGTGCTTGTTAGAAACATCAAGCATCATTACTTTCTTCAGAGGATGATGTAGTTGCTTCTGCTGTAAAGGAGCCGCATTAATAATGAAGGATGAGGTTTCTCTGTGCTTTGAGTGTTAGTGATCTCAGCTATGACACAAAATTCCCTTCAGTAAGAAGACCGAACATGCAGTAGTTGAGGAAGTCAGAGTACACATAGGCTATCAATATATTACGATATCAAACTGCTTTTTCTTACGACTGTTCGATACAATTTCAGCTCTACATGCAGGACCTCAAAGCTGCAAAACATCAAGGCATCCCTGCATGTAAACAGTTCAAATCATTTGTCAGTTATTCTGGTGTGTTTGGCTTCGAACTGATGTTAAAAGTAATATTGAAACATCTATTGTTCTTCGAGAATCACCTTTAAGTAAAAAAAAAAAAAAAACCTTCCATATCTTATCTGGATATTAATAGACCTGAGACTCACTGTATGCTTTAGTACTTGGTCCATTTTGTTCATGCATACATTTTAAACGAATGCATGGAGATTAAATTCACCTCTTCTGTAAAAGAGGAAAGTTGAAGAAAGTTGAATTTTCATTTGTGAAAATTTAATTTGAAACATTTTGATACCAAAGAGGAAAACTAAGTAATCCATCATTACAATCATGTCACTGGTTTAAAATACTGTCATCGGCCACAGCAAAATAGACAGCAACTAATGACTACTGTCAAAAATGACATCTGCTAGAAGTGAGATGTTGTCGTCCCTCGGAAAGCAGTCAGGTAGTATAACGACTGTTTCCAGAGCACTTCATCAGTTGCTCTCTCCTTTAGAGTTGAGGAGCTCAATTAGCTGCTCTGCCTGCAAGAGATGAACAGATAAGGAAACAACAAAAGTTAGACTAGCAGCAGTACTGCCAGGCCTTTTTTTCCACTAGGATAAACAAAATGACAGTGTCATGGTTACAGTCAACAAGAGAAAAACTGAGCGAAATAAGATGCATGTGTTATCTTTACAGATCTACAGTGCAAAATGTCGGCTTTTATTAATCAATCATTTAGTTTTTACACACAAGAATACTTTGATACTTAGTAAATGAACCATTTGCACTTCATTGAACGTTTCCTCATCTTAACCTATGTACCACTGTAGCATTTAAATACATACTGGAGAGAGTGCTTACCGTGATAAACCAATAGGAGTTGAGCCTGTAGAAGAGGCGGGACATGAAGCCCATTTGACTGGCAGGTGCCAGGACGTGGAGGTGTAGGTGTGTGACAGAACAAAATGGGGGCCAATGAAAACCAAACCTGCAGACATGAAGACAAGAAACAAAAAAATGTTTCTTACTGCTTGAAAGAAAAAGATTCCACTGATTGTTTCAACATCACAGCAGGAGACATGTTACAAAAGCTAAATAAGTGAATGAGTTACACAACTGATATACAGACAAGATATTATCTGTAACATAACGTACATTAGATCAAGAACTGCTGTTGACTTGGTAAATACAGTTCTTTGTTTACTCTTAATTTGAGTAGATACTGCGGTGACAAGAATGTTTGCCATTGCCCTGCCATGGGTAGGGATTATTTGCTAGGATTCTGTCTAAACAGGTATTGTGTTGATTATTGATTTTCAACAGAGAGGCAGTATACCTCAAAGTAATGTATCAGTCACTATGTGTAAACAGTAAAAATCAAGCTGATCCTTGACCTGTGCTGAATAACTTTAAGGGACATTAGCTGTTAGAGTGAAGATGTTCGTAGTAAACTGTCACCCTTACATAAGGGCGGCTGTGGCTCAGTTGGTAGAGTCGTCGCCTCTCTCCCCAGCTGAGCAACATGTCCGATGTGTCCTTGGGCACTTAACCCCGAATTGCTCCCACTGCTTCAGTGGTGGTGTATGAATGGGATTAGTTACTTCTGATGGATGATACTACATAGCGATCATCACTACCATCAGTGTGTGAAAGGGTGTGAATGGGTGGGTGTGACATGTGGTGTAAAAGTGCTTTGAGTAGTCGGAAGACTAGAAAAGCGCTAAATAAGCTCAAGTCCATTTACCATTTACATGCATTACCCACCTGACATCGCTGAGGTCTGTTACGTTGTTTTTCTGGAGGATCTCTTTCCCTGTCTCCACCATCCGCTTTACTGTGAGGGAAAACAAAAACATCATTTTTAAAGACACAATTTTCCATTAAAAATTTGAATTCACTCAAAGTTGAACAAGATGTGCTTTATATTTTACAGCGCGCTTCATATTTACTTAGTCCAACTTAAATTCCAGTCAACTGCATACTGTAAGTAAAGGGAAAACATTCAAACTGTCTTCCCACATAAAGAGGAAATCATCATGAAGTATTTTTTTTTCTTCTAAGTTCAACCTTGTTAGTAACAAGACAATCCTTACCCAAAGGCACATGTTCTTTACTGAGAGATTTACAGTTTCCAACATGCTTGGATGGGACGACCAAGTAATGGTGAGGGGCTCCAGGTTTGATGTCTCTGAAACATGAGATTTCCTCATCCTGTTGCAAAGAGAGGAAAAGACTTAATAGATAGATAGATAGATAGATAGATAGATACTTTATTGATCCCGAGAGAAATTCAAAGCATCCAGTAGCAGGTTACAAAGACGTACATGACATGAAACATTTGTCACAAATCAAGCCGCAAAAAAAGCCGCAAAACCAACGCCCCCCTCCCATACATATATATTAACTTGATAAAAAGATTTAAAGAATACCTCTAGATGAATCAAACTTAAACTGTGCAATTAAAAATAGACTTATACAAGAAATGTACATAACCCGTGCAGGGATAAAAATATATGTGTAATTTAAACAAGAACCTTTAAACAGTTGAGGAAAAAAATCTGTAATTAGACCTGAATATAAAAAATAAAAAAGTGTTGACCTTCTGAAGTTGTGTTGTTTATATATGAACAGCAATGTTTAAAAAAGCAGATAGTTCAGAGTTATCAAAAACAGACATTAAATAACAGGCAGTGCAAACATTAAATTAAAAGTGCTATTTAAGTAATTGAGGTGATCATTAAAGTGATAAACAAATTCAAATAAAGAAAATAAAAAAGCTTGAGGAGTAGGCTACTCATTTAAAAGGGTTTATGCTAAAATGGTGACTTCAGTGACTTACATATTAACTTCATGTGAGTTTTAGTTATTTATATTAACATCTGTGGTTTACAGACTGTAATTTACAACTGGAGAGTGTTTCAGGTAGATTGAACAAGGTGAATTTGTCAGGGTCCGTAGTATTAAAAAAAGATTATTAAATATTAGAGATTAGTATTCAGGACCAACATAGAAAACAGATCTAACAGTGAATACATAAACAAACACAACAAGGTGAGGCCAGCATGTGAAACTACAATATGTATAGCCTGTGAATGCGAGAGTTTACATATTTGATTTTAATTTCTCTAATAATCCGGGTTTTGTCATTTTTACAGTCTATGGTTTTGTCATTTTTACAGTCTATGGTTTTGTCATTTTTACAGTCTATGGTTTTGTCATTTTTACAGTCTATGGTTTTGTCATTTTTACAGTCTATGGTTTTGTCACACAGATCAATCTAAACAGCTGATTAGCAACAGGCTAACGGGTGCTAGCTTCGCTCTCAACAGTTTTTAATCTTTTCCAATAGTCTCACACAGTGAAGAAGCTCTGTTCCCAGTTCATTGTTTACAATCCTGCAGAAAATACATTTCTTCTCATAGCCTTCGGTTGGCACACTGCCCGTTTTGGAGATTTCCACCTGGGCAGGTTGTGTAACGTTAGCCTCGACGCCGGCCATTGTTGACTGTTGGCCTGCAAGACCTGCTCAATAGATCTCAGAGATCATCGAGCTGTCAAGGGGAAACTAAAAGATTGTCGATCTATTGCAAGTCTAATGTGAGAAAATAGCCACCAGAGAGCGATGTAGTTCAACTAACTCCATATTCTGTAACCATAGACTGTAAATATGACTGTTATACAATATAATTATTATAATATATTATTATTATTTATATGATTATATATTTATATTATAATATAATTATTATATATAATATTACTGTTATATATACTGTTTATATAAATATTAATATTAAATATTATGGTCTGTAACCCATTCATGAGGGCAACCATGCCGGCCCCGCCGCTTTCTAGGTGAAATCATTTCACCTGAATGAATGGCGGTTAATGGACAAGTTGGGTCGGTCATTACTTTAAAACTGCAAGTATGAGCATAAATCTGATGACCAGTGATGTAAACATTTAAAATATGACATTTCTGAACAGAGATCGACATCATAACGGTATAAAATGAACCATGTACGTGAGTGTTCAATCTCTCTCCGTCAAACTGCTCAAACGAGTCATCAGAGGAAACTGACTTTAAACACCTGATGAGTCATTAATAACCGTGTTACCTGAGAGGGATCTTTATTTTTAAATAACATTTATCTGTCATAGTTTCTAACAGTGTTCATAGCTGTAATGGAGAGGTTACAGACGTAAATAATGATGAGTGGGGCGAGACGAGGTGTTATCGAGCTAGAGAACTTTTTATTTTGACATTTATTTTTCAGTAAGAGGATTTGGTGTAGTGTTTCTTCATTTAGAGACATTTTCACCAACATATTTATGTGATGTGATAGTTGAAACGTTGTTAATACATTAGTGAATGTGTGAAGAATCTGTTAAGACTTCTTCTGTCACTGAGCGATCACTTTAATACTCTCTAGTTTCAGTCCAACTACACACAGCTCTTCTTTTACCCTCCTTCGTCATTTGAAAATGAAAACCCGATACTAAATTGTGTTTTTAAAATAGTCTGAAGTACAAAAAGATACGCGTTTAATCTCACTGCTTCCAGTGTTTTCTAATCTACTTCCGACACATTCTCAGGGCTTGTTTTCACTCTGGCGAGCCGGAAGTGACGCTTGACTTCAATTCCGGTAAACGTCACAACCATAGACTGTAAACAACCGCTACATATATTCTATTGAATTCAATATCATCAGGGCAGCCTGCTTTACGTAAACATTAGGTTCCCTCATTTTGTCAGACATAGGGTAGCCAATTTTATAAGAACATTTAATTAATTAGACATAACCGATGTAATAAAACTTCCAATTCAGTATTTTAACAATGGTTAATAGGTCTTTGAATGGCACTTTTAGCCATAAATGACTTTGTTTTAGCTTAAGATATCTCTAGCAAGAACTGTTGGTCTTTATTGACAATTACTATTATTATTATTATTATTATTATTATTATTATTAGGCTATTCGAACGCTCACAGGATTAGTCTTAACTTAAGCGATTATGATTATTCTGTAGGCCTATAGTAGAATAAACATCTGAAAAATCGTACCTGTTCTATTGCCATCTTTTATGGCCTAATTCTCTTCCCATGCAGATCAAGCTCTAAACATTGAATAAACAAGAATAACATTGTAAGGGCAACTTAGCCCTGAAACGTTCTGATAAGAGCTGTCATATCAAATATTGGCTCTAAGCCTTGGGGCCTTTTGATCTTTTAGCAACTGCATGCACTTATCAGCTCTTTAACACACATTCAGTTTCTATTCTCCCTACATCTGTGACAAACTCTCAGAAAACTGCAGGTCAGCTGAAACTCTCAGCTCTTAAAAATTGAGGTTAAAGACTCACCTGTTTACAGCTGCCTTACATTAAACAGTTTTAATAAGATTTTCAACTCTGCACTGTAACTTTTAGGCTTTTTATTTTTCATTTTATTACTATTACTCTGCACTGTAACTTTTATTGTTATTATGTAACTCTTTTTATATTTTAATTTTATTTATTTCAATTCATTTGTTGAATGTTTCTGAAGTAACATTTAAGCCTTAATCTTACATTAATCCTCAATATTGGATTAAAATCCTAAATATTGGATTTTCTTCTATTGTTAAATTCTAAGCATTGGATTTTCTGGATTCTGCATACAACCGTAAAAATATGCATCCTGTCAAGACGTTTTCAGGATTCAGGGAAAATCTCACGCGAGTCCTTCAAATCTGGGATCTGAAGGTAGCAAAAATGCAGTAAAAAGGGATTTTCTATTTGAATGTTTCTTTTTTCCTCTGTCATGAAGCTTTTGATGTTTTGTGTGAAGCACTTTGAATTGCCTTGTTACTGAAATGTGATATATAAATAAACTTGCCTCGCCTTAGCTATCCACCCATTCCAATGTCTTCATGGTTGTGCTGGTTGTAAAATCAATACTGATTATCAGGTTGTAAGTTGACGACTGGGTGCTGGCCGTTTAACAGACTCAGTTTCTGTATGGTATGCAGTTGTTTTGTAGCCCAACAAAAAACATGCTTTAATTGAGAGAGATGCCTTGCTCTGCTGTTTTCAGGGATTTTCTAATTGCGTCTTAGTGTACTCTTTTGTGACTCTTTGTAATACATATTAATACATATAAGAAAATGTCTTCTGTCATACTTCTCATTTTCTTCCATATGCCTTTCACACCATTACAGTGGAAAATACAAATGTGACTGCTCATATTTATACTTTGAAGTCTTTTAATGCTTACAAGAACAAAACTGAACAAACAGCTTCCTTTGTGAAAAGGTGATATTTTGTTTTTGAATTTTATTCACAGTTACATAAAGCTTGTATTTCACCAGGAAAGACAACATTTTAATGTGGTTCCACAACACAATATCAGCAGCACCAGCACTGCCTGACAGACTCAAACTTGGAGAAATGAGATACAAAAAACAGCATACAAACAGGGAAAATATCTATTTCTTTTGCTTTCCTATTTAAATATTCTTCAAATAAATTTTTATGTTTAACTTAAAATGATCTCATAAAACATTTCAAATTCATGCAAATAAGGCAGGTGTGTCACTTCCAAAAAAAAAAAAAAAAGAAGTTACAGTTAACGGTTGAGGTACCTTCCTCCACAAACTTCACGCATCACTGATAAAAAGTTTTAGTAGGCCAATTCTATGCTTCTATTTTCAAGCCAGTTTCCTTGTTCTTCATTTTTAGCTTTAGTATTCATATGGAGAACAGTCAAAACATACATCATTTAGAAAAAAAAAAAAAAAAAAAGAAGTGCATTCAGAGTTCAGACGTGGGTCCTATCATGTTCCAGTGTTCAAACCAAAAATTACCTATTTTATTCTTTTGTCTTGAGGATATGAAAAGCCAAGTGCCAATGTGCCAAGTATGCTTCATAATCCTTTAGGCCAGTGGTGTCCAAACTTTTTTCTTGCAGGCCAAAATTGTCGTGCTAGAATCGCTCGTGGGCCACAGGTTTTGTTTTTTAAAATATAGTTGAAAACATAGTAAGGCTTTGTAGATCAGAATCAAAAGGCTCTCTTAATAAACCCTTTAATAATAGCAAATCAAATATTTTGATTTCTTCGTTCTACTTTATTTGTTTTTTTCTCAGAATCAAGCCTGTAACGTGGTTCATTTTTTTGGAAAAGCTTTCAGCATTTAGCTTAGGTCATCAAAATCTTTTGATTCTTCATTTGAAGTCACGGGCCTCAAAATATCCCCTCAAGCAAATAGCCCTCGGGCCGCACTTTGGACACCCCTGCTTTAGGCCATTAAACAAGTAGGACTACGCACACACACGTTCTGTAAACACTATTTATATGTGCCAAATGTTTCACATTGTTTTTTGAAAGGAAGAAAAAACAATTCTTACTTTTCTTATGTGCTTATCGTAACAAACTTTTAATCCAACAGTGTTACTCTGACTTTTGTATTATAATGCTCTCTATAACAAAGATGAGCCATGGAAGCCTTTACGCTTTAGATCCCATGTTACTAACTTGGCCAAGCATTGGGATAGTGGTGACTGGCTGGAAGTTTGCAGTTAGAGGACCCAGATCTGCAGATTTTAATCCCGCCACATGGATTTTAACAGGGACAGATCACCCCAAAACTGAACATGAAGCCCAGGCCGTGAACCAGACCAGGCCTGAGTCTGAGCCAGGTGCACTTTACAGCAGCTGCTCCATCAGGCCATGGCTGAACCACGCATACAGCCTTTTAGTCTAGAAGTTCTGTTACTCCAGACAATTCTTTAAGTTTTACTTTGTTTTATCTTGTCGTTTTAGATGTTCTCTATCAGTTCTGAACAGTCCAAACTTCGAGGTCTTGTACAATGAAGTCTTCCTGCGATGACAGAGACACATTGTGGAAGGTGGGACAGGAGAAGCTTGAACCATGGTACAGATCAGCATCCAGCCACAGGCCAAATCCACCCCTACAGAACAGGAAACAAATAGCAATTCAATGCACAATCTATTAAAAGCTCATATAAGAGACATTGTAATCCAGATGTTTATCAGGTAGGTAGTTTAACAGGTATAATCACAATCCTGCTTTGTATTACTATATGATACTGCTAGGCCTATATCCCGCCTTCTCCTCAGATGAGCATGTCTAAGTTTAATAGGTTTAGTTTTAAATAACCAAAAACGTACCCTCCGCCACCAATCTGCAGAGACTCCAGGTTCCCGCTCACAAAGTAGGAATTCTCACCGCTCCACCTGTACGCCTGAAAATCCAGAACATAAAATCATTGGAAAAAGGCAATCAAACTCAGAGCACAAGTCTTAAAGTTTAAGTATAATTTTTGAAAATTCTCTGAAATTCTTTATTTGTTTCTTTAGCGTAAGAATTTCTTTATATTTTGCAAACTTTACGGCTACTGTTTTATGAGAAAACACAAAAAGCCTTCTTCTTGTCAACATGAACACTCATCCTTTATAGCCTCTCTATAACTGTACTATAGCTGATTAAAAACCATTCAAATCTCACCTGGAATTCAGGGTTGGAGCTGAACAGGAAGGTTTCTCCTGTGCCGTAGGAGTATTTACTGACTTTGAATGGATCAGAAGAAAAAGCACCAAAGACCTGGGACGAAGTAAGATAGCATTTCATTAAAGGAGTACCAACAGTTATTCCGTGAAAGTGTCAGTTTGACTCCATTTGTTTTAAGAAAAGTGTTGTTTATAAAGATGCCAACCTTTTGCTGCATGTCTTTAATGACAAGCAACACAGGGCTGTCCAGGCCGGCCATGTTCCTGTACAGAGTCTTCAGGCTGCTGCCATGGATAGCTGTACTGTAGACCAGCTGCCATGGATACCCCTGGGTCCTTGCTGGCATCTGAGCAGCAAGCTGTTGAAAAAAAATGTTGTTCATCAAATGATGTCTACCTGACATGTAAAAAAAAAAAAACAGGTATTGTCCTCCACAAAATTGTCATCCTTGCTTTTTTCTTCCAAAAAATGAGTGTGTATATAACTTACTCTCTTCAGTTGGTGGTCATCCAGCAGCTGGCTGTGGTCTCCCAGCACAGGGAGGATGTCCTCATCTTCTTCCTGGTACTCAGGCTCCTCTGCCTCAGAGTCGTCAGAGCTACACAGACTCAGTCGACGCTTGGCTTCTTGTACTTTGACGATCTGAAGAATAAACAAAAAGTAACAAGTCTGTCAGAAAATGTATCAAACAATATAAAACCTTTTCTCAATGGTTACTTTTCTCAGCTGTCCTATTTTTTTTCATTAAAATGTCCTGTTAGTGGTGCAGTGGCTCGAAGGCAGTGCAAACATGACATTTTAAGATTAAAGCTAAGGAGTGGGAGGCTGCACAAGCACAGAGCATTGGAACAGCAACATAGCAAGTGGATTCATAACTTGAGTGCTGGATGACAAGCTTCTTTGGAAGGACAATAAATAAACATCCTTTCTCTAAAGTACATTACATTGTTCTAAAAATAAGTAACTGACATGTAAACATGCAGTACAGTAGTCCTACCTGGACATATGGCTCCACACAGTCACGAGCAAAATAAAGCACTTTGATATTTTTTGGAAGCAGCTTCATAGCTCCTGATTTCTCTGTCAATAGCGACACTCCACAGTACCACATGTCTATTTCCTGAGCTAACCAGCATCTTTCACATTTATACAGTCTGGATTCCTTTCACTTTCTTGTTGTGAGATTTCATTGGTTGGAAACTTGAGTGCACAGGCTTCTCATTGGTTTGTTCCAATGCTGAACAGTTTCTTTTCTCTCGAAGAGGAAAGTGAAGCACAGTTTTAGATGCTGGCAGGCAGGATGTCCATATATGGAGGCAATGAGATTTCCCACAATGTCTGGGACAAATGCCAAGCACTTTACAGCCTCAATTACTGTAAGTCGACATTTTATGATTTCTATCTGAAAATATTTGGATTGTGAAGTGCTTCTTGTTATCCTGCAGCCAAGGAGGGCTTTAGTTGAATCTTTAGACATATAATATTTACAAATACATACCTCCCAGTTGTTAGCAGTGCTGTTTGCAGAGTTGCTGAGGAGCTTGTTGATCACAGCTACCTTTTCCTTCTCCACTACCAGGTAGCGGTTCTGATGTTTCTCCCTGATGAGATAGCGGGGCTTTGGTTGCTTCTTGTCCCCCTTCTTGTATAATGCAGGAGACCACTGCACAAAGAAGGTGTAAAGGTGATCAACCCTGTTGAAGCAAGAGGACAAAGTGCACTTTTTACTTACAGATAACATACTGTGTACTAGAGAGAGATTGTTTAAGATGCATGGGGCCTGCCATGTCCTAAAGGAATTGTAATTTACTTTGTAAGGGCTAAAGGGAAAATACAATGACGTAACTGTTTAACAAAAAAATGACTGTATGTTTCACCATTTAGACTGGAATACATCCGATAATCTTTGACCTATACTGAGCATGTACCTGATGATTTTTTAAGATGTTAATAATGGTTGCCCTGGCCTCCATTTCCCATGAAAAAGAGGAAAAAAATCTAAACTTATCAAGAGCCACTATGCAATACTGGGATATTTGTTGAAATGTGCCAAAACATGACTTGCCATGAAGGGAAGCATGCCCTGAATGTGTAAGGCATTAGTCATGAGGACATGTGGAGCAAATCAGGAACTTTAGACAATTCAATGATGAAATCCAAGACCGTGTGTGGTTTCGAACTAGTGTAAACCAGTTAGGTTACTTCACCTCAATCAAAAAGCACCCCCAGCCCACTCACTTCCCTTTTCTCCATCTTTCTGCCATATACATTCACACCCAGAAAATCACACTAGGCTATTTCCAAACTCTTGGACCTATAATTCTGCACTGCAACAACTTTTTAGTGACCCATTAATTACCCTAAACTTTTGCACATAAAGATTAAGATCAGAGTTTCCTATTAAAATGGTAACTGCAGGTCCTATAGCTCAGAAATGACCTAAACTATCTTAAATAAGCAACAAAATAAAACATTTAAAACTTTATACCATTAACATCTTCAGAACCAGGAAAAAAAAACATCCAAAACGTCTTAGTCATTTGTTTCACTTACTCTCCGACACTGTATGCAACTCCCATGGTTGAAGAAGAGGAAGGTGTTGATGGTAAACTGTGAGGAGAAGGAGCGAGTAGATGGTTTGGAGGCTCAGTGCTTGAGAAGCATGTCCACACTGAGTGGCCACCATCAGCAGCATTTTATACCCAAGGATCAATCTCTGGGATAAGCCCCTGTGACAATAAACCCTCCCTTTCTCCCTATAAGCTCTACATAGCTTGCACATTTTTTTACGCAAAGATTACACAATGATGCCTGAAAGTTTGTGACACATTAACCTGACCTGCCAAGTGTCCCTGTCCTTGAGTTTGGCAGCAGGCCAGACTGTCACTGTGTCAATGGCTCAGTGACCACTGAGGTGGCTTTATATAGAGATAAATGCCTGCATGTCCATTTTATTGTCTTTGCAACGAGCCAAACCATCTGTTTTCTGTAGTCTACTTTTCTGCCGCTCTTTGTGCACTTTGCAGCCAGTTAGGGGGTTGTTTGTTTTTCAGGTAACATTTAAAAAATAAAAAAGCATTACAGTTTGCTTTTACATTATACCTTTAAAGTAGTTTAAAAAGGTCCACCTATGGGTGCTGATGGCCTGCACCCTATTACAGGAGGCTATAGTCCTCCAAACGAGGGGCACCGGTGTAAGTCCGACCTGGGCCTGTCTCTTAATTTCCTACTCTATCCTATCAAATAAAGAAAAGAAGCCCAAACATTAAGCTTAAAAAGAAAAAAAAAAAAAAAAGGTCAACCTGAATGCAAAACAGCATTAAATACTTCATCGTCAGATCATCAGTTCAAGTATTTGATAGATTCCTTTCTGGGGAATGAGCACTTTGAGAACTATTGTTTATGACACTTGAATATGTTTACTTCAGGGATTAGTCTGACATGATCATTATTAACTTTGTTCGTGTGAGTTACACCTTATTTGAAGCTAGTTTAAAAAAAAAAAAAAAAGAAAAGGTAAGCCTAGCTGGAAAAAACAAAACAAACAAAAAAAAAAAAAAACGAGAAACACTTTTGCTCTGTTCAGCTAAAGAAATTTCACTTACCAGCATCTTTGAAGACTGCAAATAAACACATATCGTGCATGTTAAATCTGCACAAACCTACAGGTTATGATTCCAGTAGGGAATGTGTTGGTTTTAAGCAGAGGCTTCTGGCACACCGTGTCACATTCAGGAAAAAAAAAACAAAAAAAACAAGGAACTGGACCCAAGTGCAGATGCTAGAAAAATAATTTATTTAAATAAAAGATCAAAAGTCCACAACAAAAACTTAATATCAAAATCCAACAGGAGAAAAAAAAAAAAAAAAAAAAAAAAAAAAAAAGGAGCCACTGGTAAACTGACGACCGACATAGACTGACAATTAACATTCCGGCCTTTCAGGCAGAGGGCCTGGAGGCAGGACACATAGCCAGGACAGTTCAGGCAGGCAGCTAGAAGGGGGACCAGACTGGCAGGCCAATTCAGGGGCGCAGCCAGGAGCCCAACAAAACAGGCAGACCAGTTCATGGGGGAGGCCAGGAGGATTAGGCCTGGCCTCCTACAGGGACACAGTCCACAGGACCTCCGACCAGGAAGCAGGAGTCAACAGAACCTCTGATGAAGGGGCAAGATGGTGCAGTGCCTCAGACGAGGGTGCAGGAGTCGAAAGGGCCTCAGACGAGGGAGCAGGAGTCGACTGGACTGTCGAGGCGTAACCAGGAGTTGGCTGGACAGCCAAGGGGAAACCAGGAGTCAGCCGGACTGCCAACTGAGAACCAGGATGAATGCCCCACTGTGAAACAGGGGGCTGGAGTCTCTCAGCAGGCACAGGGGGACTGACGAGACTCTGCCGGAACAGGAACACAGGGAGGCTGAAACCCTGGGAAGGTAGAAGGCTGGGGCTGAGGCTCTGTGGAGCTTTCTGGCTCCAATGCGAGGTCCAGCAGAAAAACTACCAGAGAGCTAGAGGATATAGACTCCGGACATCTTGAGCCCCCACTGCATATCCTCCTACCTCATGTACCCAGAAAAATAGCGAGCCGTGTTCCCGTCCAGGGAGATGGCTCAGAGTAAAAACCAAAAGAAATCTTCTGGTTCCATGATTTTGGTCAGATCATTCTGTCATGTTCAGGTAAAAAAAAAACAAGGAACTGGGCTCAAGAGCAGAAGCTAACAAAAATGATTTATTTAAAATAAAGATCAAAAGTCCACAACAAAAACTTACTATCAAAATCCAACAGGAGAAAACAAGGAGCCACGAGGAAGCACAAGGAGACACTAGTAAACTGACGACCGACATAGGACAATGATCTGACACAGAGGAGAAGAAACACAGAGACTAAATAGACACAGGGGTAATCAAACACAAGTGAGACCATCAAGACACAGGTGAGGACAATGAGGGTAATCAGGACTGGAGAGAAACACAACAAGGAAGAAATAAATACGACAAGAAACACTGAGCACAAGAACTACAAATTGAATCCAGAACCACTAAAGACACACAGAACTCAAGAAACAACAATACACACTACACACTAGAAGACAGAGAATAAGAAATTACAAAATAAAACAGGAAACACTAAAGATATATCTAGGAAGCACACAAGGAAACAAGCAACATGGATAAACAGGATAAATGAAGACAAGGAAACCTGAAATAGACAAAAAAAAATAAACAACTAAATAACATAAAATCATGACACGACATAGAAGAAGTCCTCCTCACATCATCCTGTTTTTACACTTTTGCTTTTTTGAAGATTAAACAAACAAGATCTAAAACCTTAATTAGCTTTCAGATATGAGAACAGGCTGCTAATGTATCGTCATCTTTATAATACACACGACAGTGGTATTGATCATCTCATTCAACACCGTACTTAAGAGTAAATCGGGACATTGCCCAGATTTTGAACTATTCAACTCTGAAATTAACATTTTAAACTAAAAAAGTGGTACTGCTTCTAAAAAGATCTTTCTCACTTTCTTTGTTTTTTTTATTTCTCTTGCAGCTCTCAAGTTGTTGTTTTTTTTTTTAATAAAAAGGAAAAGCCGAAGTGATTGACAGTTGTTTTTGCCACTATACAAAGACTGAGTGCATAAAAAAATACTTGTGCTCTGTCTTAAAGATGTAATTAACAAATAATGCAATTATATTGGGAGAATTTTGATGTTACACAACACCAGACATTGAGCTATATGATTTCAATCTCACTGTGTCTATCAAGAAAGGCTTCCATCTTTGAAGTCTCCACATATTAGCATTAGTCTCAGACTCCATGTAACCACACCACAGGTAACTAAACCCAAAAGCACGACTCAAAACGCAGTCTTTGATTAGGGGGGAAAAAAAACAGTCTTTACTCTTTTAGCAGACACAATCCAAAAAAGTGATCAAAGAGGAAACAAAAGGCTTGAACGCTTCTCACAGGGGTCAAAGACGAACTGGCACAGAAGGAAGGGAAGCTTCAGACTAAATACTAGGGTGAGGGGAAAGACAACGAGATGCAGCTGGGAACAATCAGGGCGGGGCAGACAATCACACAGGTGGGAAACACATGAGGGCAGGAAGTGAAGGATCTGAAACAAGAAGAGAAGTTAGTGACCCAAAACAGGAAATAATACAAGATAGAAATAAAAACAACCTAAGACACTGAGCTGGACATGACACTCCAGCTTTCCTAATGAGATTTAATCAAAGCAACAAACCCTGATTGCAATGTTGACCTTGATCAAAAATGATGAATATCCAATACCAACCATTCAGAATCACTATGTTGTCTGTTTTTTTTTTTTAAATCTGTGGTCATTAGGATTACATGGGTAAAAACAAATATCTTCTCAATGGGCCAGACTGTGAAAACATGCCAAGCTCTTGGAGCAAATCCCCAAATCTGCCTTTTTCTGACCAGCGGGTCTTTCTAGAATTTTCTCTTGACCAAAGCACATGATAATGATCTTTTAGAAAAACTGTGCTCTTGCACTTAAACTAAATGCTTATTCAGTAAAAGAGAGAGACAACATTATTAGAAATTATCTTATATTATACAATTATTATTAGAATTATTAAAAATGATAGCGATTACAGTTTGTTTTGGGTCTGATATAAGGTCAGGCGATCCCAACAATCAGTCATGAGGTTTTTACACAATAGAAAAAGGAGTGGAAGATCAATTAGAGACTATGTGCAGCCAGACACACAGACAGGATCGATCAGTAAACACACAGATCTACACGTACACACACCATACAAACTCTTGCACACAGGCAGATATGTCCATGAATGTGTGCAAAGACCAGCAGACAGATGCATGTCAGATTCCACACGTGCACACTCACACACAAGCAGAAGAACCTTTAGCTCTTAATGATAGTACCTTCAAGTCTATTTTGAAAAAGATCACAGCTGAGATTTCTTTCTTCATGCAATTCTTCTTGCAGTTCATAATTAAGCCAACCACTTTTAATGACTTCATGTTTAAAAGCAGTAATGCCAGTTGGTCCAACCTTTGTGAGAAAGAAATTTAATTACATGTTGAGCAACTTTGGATATCTTAATATCTATTGAGACAGGCATGGACATGACCGGTCACAAAGTAAAGCATACTTTAAATGTTGAACGTATTAATCATGATGACGGTGTGCGAGTACATGAGGGAGAATTAGTTATGTCCGATTAGTGGTCCAAACAAAACCACTTTCTGTCAATATTTGTGCCCTATATTAACCTTCTTTAAATGATGGGAGGTTGAATCTCATTGAGCCTCAATTAAGATATTTGTCTTCTTTACATTGTTCATCAATTTGGGTTTTACATTTTTGAAGTAATAATGAGAATGTTTGACTTCTGCATTATTGATCTGGAAGAAATCTGTCACTGGCTTGCATTAGTCACTCATATTATATTAAGCTACTAATAATGTGGCACTGGGCTTTGTCTGTTTAAATTCATATGTTAACAGCAGCGAATGAGCATTTTGTTCAATCATGCATTAAGTGCTTGAACGAGAAGGTTTAAGAGGCCTCAGAAGTGTCTATTTGGGGCAGTAAAATTGGTCGTTATTTGCGTGGTTTATTGTATTTCCTGTCACTGGAGCAAGCAAGAAATGATTTGCTGCTGAACCCTGAG